TATATGGCATATATATTTATTTTCAAGATATTTTTCATCATTCAGTCTGTGATGTGGAAAATGGCAGACATATTGCAAGTAATTTCTTATTTATGAGTTTGCATGTATATGTAATACAAAATAGGGCTTTTTTGAAGAGGTAACAAAGAAAAGAAATGACACATAAAATTACTACAATTTTCACAGTTGCCTTGTGTAGAAGAACAAAAGGATAAATTCTTTTTGTTTCAGCCCATCTAAACCAAACCCCATATTCCCCATTATCAACATACAGTTTGTCTTTGAAATCAGTGACACATGAAACATGAGTGTTATGTAGGAAAGGAAAGGTACTTGATGTTTTCCTCATGTTTCTTCCTGATAACAATTGCCTGTGTTTTCCCATTTAACCTTAGCTTCATCAGAAACCCTTCACCACTTTCATAGATCCATCTTATTAGAGATCAGAGGTCACAAAAAACCTACAGAAACAGGAAATCAAACTTCCTTAGTCCACTACAAAACACAGAAACCTGTTTCCTCTACACATCTCTAATTGGTAAAGTTCTGTCCTAGCAGATTCATTGTGGAACCAGCGATTGAAGAGGACAGAAGGACTTCGTCATCCAATCTCAAACGAACTTTCTTGCTACAGACAATGAAAATGAAGAGAGCAAGTCTTTTTGTCCTGCTTTCTAGCTTATGGAGTGGGGGCCTCGGAGTTAGCAATACTACAAATACTTGGACTATACATAATGATGAACATTCACAGAAGAATATGATGCCTGCATTGGTTCCTTTAAATAAAACACAAGGTCTTCAAATGATTATGTCAGCAGAGGCAGCCACAACTCCTGAGGCAAGAACCTCTGAAGAACACCTTCTAAAATCAGAGGGAGGTTTACCTTCTCAGTTTGACATAAATCAAACCCTCACATCCAAAGAGAAGGCTGAAGATGGAGCGGTAAAGTCACAAAATCTCACCCTTCCAACCAAATCTAACATCAAATTTAGTCCTGGGGAAGAATCAGTGGTGCTCTCTAACTCTACACTGAAATTTCTTCAGAGCTTTGCTACAAAGTCAAATCAACAAGGGAGCTCCCTAAACTCAGTAGAAGGCATGGGAAGTCGACCCCCAAGGGAGACATATGTCAGCAGAGGGGACAGCAGTGGAAGCCAAAGAAGCAACTATCAAAAACCAACTTTCGAAACTACTAGAGGAAAGTAAGATCAATCTTTTTGTTTCTTTCTTTCTCTGAATAGAATGTCTATAAGATTGCAAGATAGCAATTAAGCTATCTCACTCCCAGAAAATGATAGCATTTTCCAGATGATTCTGTCTTATTTATATATGATACATGATTTAAAATATATATTTTCACTGTAGTTCAAAATTATACAACCTTATATATATATAAAGTAAATCTGATTTTTAACTTTAAATGTCCTCATTTGGTAGAATTTAAAACAATCTCAATTTGCTATACATTTACAAATGCTACAGATTCAGAATGTTCAACTTGGGAATGATAGATCTACTCTAAGGAGTTCTGTGGCACAATGGTTAATCACTCAGCTCCTAACTGAGAGGTCAGTGGTTCTAATCCAACAGTTGTTCTGCAGGAGAAAAAAAAAACCCCTGAAGATCTGCTCCTGACAGACAGTTCTCCTCTGTATTACAGGGTCGCTATGAGTTGGAATTGACTTCATGGTACACATTACCAACAAGATACTTAGTCGATAACAGACCTATTAACTGACTTGTATTAATTTCTTGTGTCTTGGCACAGAAAATGTTGCCTGTTAACTTTGAACCACCGACTTTGCTGTTCAAATGACTTTACAGTCTGACACATTAGCCCACAGTGCCACACCAGGACTCCAATGAAAATCTGAAGAATAGCAGCATGATATAAGGAGCTCTGGTAGAGTAGTGGTTACGAATCAGGCTGTGAACCGCAAGGTCAGCAGTTCGAAACTACCAGTGGTTCCGTGGGAGAAAGATGAGGCGTTCTGCTCCCATAAAGATTTACAGCCTCGGAAACCCTGTGCAGGGTCGCTATGAGTCGGAACCAACTCCACGGCACTTAACAACAACAACATTGTCAGATATAGTGTCGGGGGATGAGCCCTTCAGATTATATGACATACAGAAAGTGGCATATAGTTATTTTATAATTATAACTGTTCTTATTGTTATGTGTCGTTGAGACAATTCCAACTCATAGTGACCCTGTGTATGATTTTCTGAGGCTGTTAATCTTTCCAGAGCAGAAAGTCTCATCTTTCTCCTTTGGAGTGGCTAATGGGCTCAAACTGCTGATGGGCTCGAATTGTAGTTCTAATAGAGTGCTTATCTTATAACATAACCACACCCCTCATAATTATAACTAGTAATTAATAATTTGATACTAAGTGCTGAAATAAATGCTAGTTATATCTATGTGGCGCTGTGGGTTAATGCACCAGACTGCAAAGCCGTTTGAACTGCAAGGTCGGTGATTCAAGCTCACCAGCTGCTCCTTGGAAACCCTATACAGGGTCACTATGAGTCAGAACTGACTCGACAGCACTTACCAATAACAACAACATATCTATCCCGAAACCTCATTTTTGAAGTTTGGGAGCACTTATTTATTCAATGATTATTTGTAAATTGCCTGCCATTGTGATATATCTTTGGGAAGACAGAATTAAAAAAAATAATAATAATAATTCACACCTTTAAAGGATATGTCTGATGAAAAGTAAACACGGCTATGTCATTCAACCAGATTTCTAAGAATTCAAAATTTGTTAGGAAACAAACTATTAAGATGTGATTTTTTTTTTTTTTTTTAAACAGAATATCATCTCATGGGATTCCCAACAAAATCCTAAAATTCTTTCTTAAGAAAAGTACCTAATATACCTACAGGCTGAGGTTTTGGGACACCTGACATTTTCTTTTGATAATCCTTTTCATTAAATTCACTCTCTTTATTGTTGTTGTTAAGTGCTGTCAAGTCAGTTTCAACTCAAAACAACCTTGTGCAGGGTTTCCAAGGAGCAACTGGTAGGTGTGAAGTGCTGACCTTGTGGTTAGTAGTATAGTTCTTATCCTACTGTGCCACACCAGGGCTCCTCTTACTCATTGTAATTGTTGTTAAGTACTGTCCAGTTGGTTCCTACCCATAGCGACCCTGTATATGGTTTCCAAGGAGCAGCTGGTGAGCTTGAACCACCAGCTTTGTGGTTCAAACTGACTTTGCAGTCCAGCGCATCAACCCATGGTGCCACACCAGGACTACTCTTGAAAAAACAAAGAAGATATTAGTGATAACATGAGAGAAATCTAGGACTTTCTCTTATGGACCTAATATTAATGCAAAAAAATTCTTACATATTTTCATCTGATCAGCAAATAATAATAGTAACAATTGTGTTGTTAAGTGCAGTCAAGTCAGTTCTGACTCATAGCAAACCTAAGGAGCAGCATGTGGGTTTGAGTCACCAGTCTTGCAATTAGTAGTCCAGTGCTTATCTTAAAATGTCACACCAAGACTCCAGTAGTAATAACAACAAACACGTACATGGTGTGGTGCTGTGGGATAATGCACTGGACCACAAGATGTGTTTGAACTGCAAGATGGGCAGTTCAAATTCACCAGTTGCTCCTTGGAAACAATATACAGGGTCTCTATGAGTCAGAATCAACTTGAAGACACTTAACAATTTGCATATGACATTTGTTCCAGTACCACTGAAGTGTTCTTACATTACTTATTTAATCAGTACCATACCCACATGAGGAAAAAACTATTTTTTCCTTTACGTAGAGTTTAAGTACTTTACCCAAGGTCACAAACCCAATAATTCTTTGGGCAAAGATTCAAACCCAGACTGGCTGGCTTCCGAGCCGTAGCTCTCAAACTCCTTTACTATACATATGCAAGGAGCTCTGGTAGAATAGTGGCTCTGAATCGGGCTGCTAATCTCACTGTCAGTAGTTCAAAACTACCAGCTGTCCCATGGGAGAAAGATGAGGCTTTCTACTTCCATGAAGATTTACAGCCTCAGAAATCCTATACAGGGTCATTATGAGTCGGAATCAATCGATTCCGTGCCACATAACCACCACCACCACTACTATACATATGCAGTGTATTTTTCCAAGTGGAAAAATGAGTAACTAGTTCACTCCTCTGCTTATGAGCCTGCAATTATTTTGTTAACTGTAGTAATAAGTTCTGAATTCTTATTTAGTCATACAACGTCTTTGGCCTAGTTTCTGTCAACTTATCCAGTCTCATCTTCTGCCGCTTCCTGCCCATTAAAATTAAGAACTCTATGGTTTACAATGCACTATTTGTTGAACCTCCCTTTGATCTCTGTCCCTCCAGCTAACATGATCCTCTTTTCCCTTCAATTACACTTTCTATGTTCCTGTGTGGTACAAACTCTTAAAGCCAATCCCTGCTAACCCAAATGTTGTTGATTCAAATCCATCTAGAGATGTCTCAAAAGAAAGGCCTGGTCATCTACTTCAAAGTCATTCGTTACTGAAAGCTCTATGGAGTACAGCTCTACTCTAACATACATGGGGTCGTCATGAATAAAAATGAACTCATTAACAACACTAACACCCAATAAAATACTCCTGGTGTGGTACTGTTGGATTAGCCCTGACAGTGAGCTAAAAGGTCAGTGATTCAAACACACCAGCTGCTCTTCAGAAACACTATACTGGGTCTCTATGAGTTGGATTCTATATAGTGGCACTAACAACAACAACAACAACCAATAATAGGGAATCCAGGCTGTTAATTGGCTCTTCTAGCTAGTCCTATAATCTATTTGAATTATTTTACTACTGCAATTACCATATAATATGCTTATAGTCAATTTGTGCTCTCCTTGCATATAATGACTTATGCTGTTCCTATAATCTATTTGAATTCTTTTACCACTGCAATTACAATATAATATGATTACAGTAAATTTGTCTTCTCCTTGTATATAATGACATATTTTAAGTGATAATAAAGACTCTAGTTTATAGTAGATGCACAATAAATATTTAATTCAAACAATGGAAAATTCAAGGGTCAAAATACGAATATGAGCAAGAATCTTCCCAAAAGATATATTGTAGCTCTTTATTCTTAAAAAAACACACACACACACACACACACACAAACAAACAAACTAATGGATCTGGATAAATTCATCTTCATTTTGTGTGTGTGCTTCCTTTGTTCTTGAAATAAGAGAAAAAAATTAGGATGAATCTGTTTATATGCTGAACAAATGATTGTTGAGCATCTAATATATCTTTAGCACTGTGCATGTCTTGAGAGTGAAATGATGAACAAAAGCTTATGTATATTCTGCTCTCATGGAAGGTTCAGGGAAGCAAAATTGAATTATAAATATGTATGTTGAATCAAATGGTGAAAACTACTCAGAAGCAAGCTTATGAGAATGTACAATAGGCTGAATGGGCTAGTTTGGGGGTCAATAAACCTTCCCAGAGAGGGTAATAGATAACATAAGGTGTGCTTCTACCCAACTGCCTACTTAACTTCTCCCACAATTCCCAAACCTTGCACACACATACCTCAGCCTTTACTCTTTCATTGAATGACTGTTACTGTTGTTAAGTACCATGGACTCAGTTTCAATTCATAGCAATCCTATATAGGGTTTCCAAGGTGCAGCTAGTGGATTTGAAAAGCAACTTTGTGGTTCAAAGTCCAGTGCTGATCGATCCTACAGTGCCATACCTGAAATGACTAGTTCCATAATAAAGATACCTTGGCTGTATCTTCCACATTTCACTCTGAGCCTTTATCTAATTTATGAACAAATTGTCTTGGTACCCTCTCCAGCACATTCCAAATGCCTGCATTTGTCTCTATCTTCACTTGTAGTTGGTTGCCATCAAGCCAGCTCTGATTCATAGTAACTTTATGTATAACAGAATGAAACATTGCCCTATGTTGCACCATATGTTCATTATAATTCACATTCATTATCGCCATCCAATTCCTAGATACCGTTACCCATCATTAGTCTCCAAACAGGTCCACATACTTCCAATCTTGCCTCGTATAATCCAGGTACACATAAGTGAAAGATCTTTCAAACACTTAAATCAAATCAGTGCACTTCGTTGATGTCATGTTAAGTTAATTCCAAGAAACATATTATTTTAGGTAACAATAAGAAAGAGAAGTCATCTC